TCCAGCAGGCCCGTGTTCACACAGACACCCGGAGGCTACGACGTGCTGGGAGGCACAGGGGAGAGCGGACACCGGGAAGCGGCGCACGGGGAAGCACCAGCTCCGTCCTCGGCTGCGCTGCAGCTCAGTGGGAATACAGGCAGATTGGGCTAAATGCGGCTGATTTGTGCTTATAAACATCCAGATGGTACATGACTAAACAAATTGCACATATTTTCTGAAGAAAAATGACCTTGATAGCCAAGATAAAAAGCAAGCATTTTATTTATGCTTATCAAAGCACAAAACAAACTCACGACAGCTTCAGAGAGACCTGGATCTTGTATTTCGGAGCTGGTCAGAGACATTTCTAAACTGCATTTCTGAAGTGCAAAGATGGCCCCCAAGTTCCTTATATCTCTGCCTGTCTCTTCTGCCTGGTTGTGATTTATAGCTGGCTTTGTGGACCTTAAGCCAAGAGAAAAGGAGCGACACAGAAATGGAGATCCATAAAGCACAAGGCTTGCAAGACCTGCCCTCATTCAGAAGGATTTATATGTATATATATATATATATATACACACACACACATATACATATGTGCATGTGTGTCTATGTGCATGTACATCTGTATATACACAGACACACACATATAATTCATAACTATGTGTATATATATACACGTATATATTCACTCGAGCAGTCCAAGGTGTCAGAGGCACCACTCCCGATCCTACACAGATTGATCCCAACCTGCAAGGCCCTCCTCCAACCTGCCTATGGAATTCAGGGCCTCTGTTATGCACATGAAGCTGCACAGAGCAGCTGGCCCAACACGTTTGTCACACATCAACACGCTCATCCTCTCATCAGAGAGAGGACAACATCTCATAGAACGTATCTTCACAGAAGACAACTTGTGCCTCCTACCTTATCTCCTTACTCTCCCTGTCTCCCCTCACCAAAAGGAGGAGAAAGGCTTTGGGTTTACAGAGGGTGTTCTGCGGGTTCAGAACTAAGTTTTTACTGAATAATAAGAGCAGTTCTGAAAATTAAATAAAATGACAGCATAAGAAGCATGAAGAAGCATAACCTTTGTACAACAGCCCTTCTATTATTAATTTAGAGAATACTCTTTGCAAAAATATACTCTAGAATTCTGCCCATTTTGCTCATTTGAAAAATCAGAAATGCTGTCTAGTCCAAAGCGGGACATACCAGGTCCGTTGCCAAGACCACTTTTTCTGAATGTTAAAAGAAGGCAACAGAGTATCAAACCAAATAATTCAAAGTTAAAGGAAAAAAAGCCAGATTTGCAGTTCTACATGTAACTCTCCCCTGGGTGCTCCTCCTTTACATTGAGCAGACACAGGAGCAGGTAACCACAAACCAGAGCTCATCTGCAAGCTTCAGAACCAAAGCAAGAAGTACAAAGCGACAGATATTTCCAAATCCAGATGCTACCCCACTACCTGTGCAATAAAGTGTTAACATGACCTGGGGAAGATGGATGCAAGAAGGGAGGGAGAGCTAATGCAGTCTGCGAAAAGACAGGAGAGAACAGGAAATATATATCCCTCTAGATATAATGTTCTTCCGTGGTTATTCCCAGTAAATATATATCCCTTTAGATATAATGCTCTTCCGTGCTTATTCCCACTATGCCCTGCAGCAAGGCTGGGACTCTGAACCTTTGTAACATGCCTGAATTACATAAGCAACCACATTAGATGTCAAGAAAAGGAAAAAAAAAAAAGAAAGAAAAGGAAAAACCCATCATATTGGAAGAAAGAAAAGATAAAAAGGGGAAGCAATGACCTGCTGCAATAAGGTCTGTTCAGGGATCTCGACAAATTCTTGAAATTCAACCCGTATTCACATCCCAGTAGCATCCATACGCCCCTGACAGCAGTACTCACTCACCACTGATGCAGACAGTGCCACATAGCGAGCGGAAGGAAAGAAAGAAGGAAGGAAGGAAATGGGGATATGCCCATGGAGGCAATGCGCTTTGGGAAGAGCAATCCCACAAGGAGATCTCAGGAGCTAAACCCTGGCTCCTCCCAGGCTTGTCTGCACAGCCTCCTCGCCACTGTTGCTCTTACAGTGGTGCTGGTTTCAAGTGTCCTGTTACTCCATTTCCCTGCATGACCCAAGTGACAGGGGGGAAACGATGACTCCCAAGTGTTTCGGCCTCGGCAAAACTTAAACAATTTCATGGGGCAGAGAAATCAAACCACTTATTTGGCCTAAGGACGACTCCTCTTGCCAAACTTCGATGGCTTTTTGCAAACAATAGAGCTTCTCAAGGAGATCTTACAAATTCTTCATAATGGAAACTATTAGGCAACCTAAATATAGAGTTCATTACCAGTTCCCTCTATACCACAGTGCGCTAGGGTTCTATTGAGCATTCTTTACTTGTGCTTCTAATGAACTTCAGCAGGAGATTTGTCCAAGTAAGGAATGATTATTACAGCCCTAGGTTCCTTACATCTACACCATCTTTCATCTGGAAAGATTTCGAAATGTTTTAAAGGTCACATATAGGAAATTACTATATTCAGCACAGTCTCTTATCAAGAGGAACACAGTAATTTATTGGTACCCCAGCAACAACACAGAACAATTTAGGTTAGCAAGTAAATAAGAAAGCCGTATCCACAGGGAGAATTTAGCACCTTGATGACATTACCAAGCTCTGGAAACTGCTCTACAGCAGAAGGCAACAGCATTTTTAACTGGCAAAAAATACTGCAGCCTTACATCTGACTCATGGCACATCCAAGTCCAGCACCACGCTGGGGCTACGAGGAAACGCAGGGAAGAGAAGCCTGACACCTCGGGAATCACTTACACCACTTGCTGCAGCATCCAGGGTTTGTCTTGGAGGTCTTCCATCCAAGCAGAGCCCGGATTAACCATGCAAGGTGATACTGCCACAGACAAAGTTAATTCAACGCCATGAAACAGCCTGTTTCAGTTTAAAAGTATATTAAAATACAATCAAGAAGTCATAAGAATCATTTTTATTCATGTCAAAAATTCCACCGGTTTTTCAAGGCTATAATCACTGTCTCGCCTTTGGCATAGAAGATAATTCTTTCAGAGAGAAGAAATTATTCAGCAGTGAAACCACACACCAACCTGAAAATATTTCCCACAAAGTTAACTGTACTATGTTACTATGTACTATGTACTATGTTACTATGAAAACAAGAGCAGTTTTAATCAATTTTATAACTAATTTCCAATGGCTTTCAAATATACTCATCTTCACTACAATTGCCTGCTTTCCACCATACTTGGTGCAAAGGGGTTGGCCAGAAAAAAATTAATTCCCAGGGTCATCTGAATGCCACAACACTGTTATTTTGAACAACACTTGATGAAAAGCACTTGATTGCACAAGCAAAATGAGCAAATGTTTTAACAGGGCCCTAATTTGGTTTCCTGGACTCCAGCTCCTTAAAAAAAAAAAAAAAAAAAAATCCACCCAAATGGCCTTTTGTGCCTCTTTGGCACCCTAATGATTCTCTCCAGAGATGCAAAGGTCTCTCCTCGCTAGCTCAATTCTAATTTCAGATTTGGGGGCCTAAAATCTCCTGGTCTGAAGCGTCATCTCATGCGATGTGTAAATCCTGGACTTTGCACGCATATGAAAACACAACCCATTTAAACCTTACAGGAAAGAGAACTCCATAAACCCAGTCAGCTACACATGTTTTGTGGTGTTGGACTAGAGAAAAGAAAAAAAAACAAAAACATCAACACACCAACTAAAACTGTGTGTATCAGAGCACTGTGGGGAAGGAAGGGGACATCAAAATTCAAGCACTATACTGTGCTCCCAAAATATTCAGAGAAAAAGGAAAGGCCACAATAATATTGGTTTACCTTCTTATTTCCTCCAATTTTTTTTCTTAAGTTTTAGTGCTTTTATCCCATGCAATTTCCAGTGGGACAAAACACTATTTTATGCTGACTTTGGCTAGGAAACTGAATAATTTTTTTTGTTTCTTTTTTTTAAAAGGACTATTACCTGCATTTATGCTGTTTTAAGGATTTTGCATTCATTCCTTCGGCATTACCATTTTGTTGAATATTATCGATCCCTACCCACCTACCTGTGCCATAAATACTAAACCTTGACTCCATAAATACTGAACTTTGACTGTAAACCACGTTACACATGAGTGATACAATTCCTCCTGGCACATTTATCTCATCCAAAGATTCCCTTACTTAAAAGACCAACTAGAATTCCAAGCTGAAGTAATCAGAAGGGCTTTGGATGTTCATTCATTTTTTTCCCCCGAAGTCTAGGAAAGAGGCATTAGGAATAAAGCAGGATCTCACTGGTAAAACAAACACGACTTAACCCCGGGTTTCCGATCCCAAACACACCACATTCGCCCGTAGCTCACATCCCACGTCGCCTGGAACGACACCTCCAACGCGACTCCTGCTTTTGACAGGACTGCAACTTTTATTGCCCCTCAAACTTCTCTCGCCGGCGGGATTAGCCGGGAGGTGCGACAACCACAACAAAGGATCCCTTGGGAATATCCCTCACGGCGCACAAAGAGCGCGAGGGCACCCCGGGGGGGGCTCGGGGAGCCCCTCGACTCGCCAGGCGCGCGCGCGTTCGGGTTGGGAGACGTGGGAAACGGCTGGCGCCCCACGAGCGTTTCTGACGGGCGCTATGGGAGAGGGAAACACGAAAATAATGGGGGAAAATATATAAAAGGGGGGGAGCCTTTTTGGGGGAAGTCACTGGTTTTTCAGGGGATACTTCCATAGGGAAGTGGAAGTCATCCCGATGCGCCGACGCTTCCAAGAGTTGGATCCACCTCAAGAGACACCACAGGGGAGCGAAACGGGGAACGCGGCGGGAGAACCGGGCCGGGGCGGGGGGTCGCGGCGAGACGAAGTCTCGCCGCGACCCCCCGCCCCGGCCCGGTTCTCGACCGCCAAAGGGAGACCCGTTTTGGGGGTGCCCCCCCTCCCCCGGGACTCACCGTGTGGAGGTGCCCTTCCTCACGTCGCACATCATGCACTTGAAGGCCTCGGCGCCGTTGCGGAAGGTGCACACGCTGCAGTCCCAGTAGCCCTCGTCCGAGGAGGGTTTCGGCTGCCGCTTCGGCCTGCGGAGACAAGAGCGAACGAGCAGCCCCGGGGGAGCCGCGGCCGCCGCCGCCTCCTCCTCCGCCGCCATCGCGGGCCCCGCTGCCGCCCCTACCTGGTCGGGCTCTTCTTGTCTCCCATGCCGGCGCCGCGGCCCTTTGTGCGTTTGTCAACACGGAGGAGCGCGGGGGGCTCCAGCGGGGGGCAAGGGGAAGGGGGGAAGGAAGAGCAGCGCGGGCGGCAGCAGCAGCGGGAGGAGGAGGAGGAGCCGCGGCCGCCGCAGCCTCCAGCTGTCGGGGAAACTCCGGCCGCCGCCGCTGCGCCCTCCTCCCTCACGTGTCCCCGGCGCCGCCAACCAGCGGCCGCCCGCAGGCCCCGGCGCTCGGCGGCACCGGCGCCGCTTCGGCCTCGCCGCCC